AATGTCCCTTTGCTTTTGTCTCCACTGGGCTGTGGGCCTTGCCCAAGTGGAGTTGTTTTCAACCCCAGAGCTGCTCCCCTCCAACCCTAGAAGGCAATGGGGGAATTTGTGGAATTGAGAGAGACCAGACCTCCCCTACTGCGGCTGGCACGGGTTTGAGCTGGGGGTCAGCTGAATGTTCACCTGTCTGTCAAGGCTTAGGAGCCAGGTACAGTAATGTGTTGCCTCCCCCAGGGCCTGGTGTGGTTCCCAGGTGAGGAAAGCGAGGTAACCATGGCTTCTGCCCTCTTATCCCTTCCACGTAGTGAGCAGGCCAGTCAGGAGACGAAGGACAGGAGAATCTAGAGGGTGTAAACATGGTCAGCAGAGCCTGGAGAAGGCAGAGGAAGCCTCTGCATGAGAGTGACTTTTTCCAAGATTGGGGTTCTAGGCTATACTTACTAGCAGGCTTTTTTCTCCGAAGAGGGTACAGGTCCTACAGTCACAATTCAGATCGGATAACCCACCACTCTAGTGGGTGGAGGCTTAGCCCTCTGTATTGGATTTAGAAAAGAGAATGTGCAAGTGAAATAGGTCACTGGAGGTGAGGCACTGGGAGTTCAGAGAAGAGCTGGCTTACTTACCCATCAGGTGATGGGATGAGGGTGACAAAGCTTGGCCAAATTTTGATAGGCTCTTCTGAGCTCTCTTGACTAGGCCCGGACTTGGAAGGTGTCTTTTCTTGTACAGTTCAGTTCTCGCAAGAATCCTGCTGTTCGTTTGGCTAGAATCCCCCATCCTCCATCTTGGATTCCCCCACCGTATTTAATCTGATTCCTCATCCATCACCATCCCCCAGGTGATGTCTGATCACTAGCCTGCCTTCAGTGAGAATCCTGTGAGATCTACTTAGCCAGAATCCTCCCTCCCCGCTGAAGTTTTCTCAGTGATTTTTTCATCCACTGCCCCCCACCCTGCTGCTTGGCTATAAATTGGACTTTTCCTTGTGTGTGGAGTTGAGCCCACTCTCCCCATTGCAGTAGCCTGCCTTGAATAAAGTCTTCCTTACCACTCTTTACAAGTGTCATGAATAATATTTTTCTTTAACAGGAGTAGGCAGCTCTGGGGCAGGGAGTTGGGGGTGGTTTCCTCAGGAGCAGCATGGAATGAGGGCATTCAAGATGGGCCTGGACTAAGACACGGGAGTGAAGGCAGGTCTGAGAGAGGGTCCTGTCTGGAAGTGAGTGAGAGGGTGCAAGCCATCCTGGACAGCATGGTAAACTGACATGGGAGGACTTCCCTTCCTGCGACTGTGGGTAGGTCCCTCAGGCAGCCATGGGGAAGGGCCAGAACCAGGACTAGCTATGTGTTTTGGACTTGTGCAGTCACATAGAGCCCTAGGCTCAGAAGGGCCCAACACTTGGTGCAATGCTCTGCTGTCACCATCTTGAAATTCCTAATGATATTTGAACAAGGTGCTGTGCATTTTCATTTTACTCTGAGGCCTGGAAATGATGTAGCTGCTTCTGGAGACTTATGGAACCACAAGGAGGGTGGAAGGAAGAGACAAGGCCTGAGCAGGCAACTTGAGCTCCATGAGCTGAGTGAGCCCCTATGATCCCAGGTTCTGCCTAAGGCAGGCAGTGGCTTCATCACCTGCTGCTGCCCCCATCTATCAGCTCTCAGGGGAGGCTCCATCTTTTCCTAGCCCGGGCTTCTAGGATTCTCTCTGAGAGAAGGAAAGCTGTATTTTCAGGAGAGCATTCTAGGGCTTGTCATCTCTGTCAAGAAACTTTTTTTCTTTTAGATTTACCCAGTGTGTTCTTTGTACACCCATTCTCTCCATGTTTGAAGGTATAATTTACATACAAAAAAGTTCACCCTTTTTTAGGGTTCAATTTTTAGAGCTTTGACAAATACAGGGAGTTGTATAACCAACCGTACAATCACGATTAAGAATAATTCGATCATCCCCCTCAAATTCCCTGGTGCCCCTCTGTAGCCAGCCCTTCTCCAGAGACCCGCAGGCAACCAGTGATCTGCTTTCTCAATCACTTTGTTTCTTTTTCTTTTTCCCTCTTTTTGTAAACCTTGTTTAATCCCACCACATATTAGAACATATTGCAAAATAATGAGTAAAACAATATGACACTGATAGAAAAATAAAACTACATTTCAAAGAGAAGAATGAAGAGCCAGGAATGGATTCTATACTGTAGAAAATTCTAAAAGGACGATGAACAGCTTCAAAACGAGAGGGTAAGGCAGGACTGTTTAATAAGAGGTGTTTCAATAACTGGACAAAAATGTGGGAAAAAATAAGTCATACTTTGTGCCGTCCCCTGCAAAATAAAATGGACAAATACTGAGGAATTAAATTTTTAAAATCAAATTCTAGGAAACTAGCAAAAGGTTAAACAGACTTACTGAGTTTGTGGAGAATAGCTAAGTATTTCTGCTCTGAAGCAGCGCCCCTCCCCCAATGAAAACAAAAATTAAAAACACACAATCCCAATGAGGAAAGACTGACAAAATAAACTGTAGTAAAATTTAGTGCACACTGAAAAGTGACATAACCGAGATTTAAGGAGAGCCACATACCAGGGAAAACAATGACAGACAAAGGTGAAACTGCCTGAGGTGTCAGCCCGACATTCAAAGTCGCAGAAGTCAGGCTTTGCTCACACCCAGCTGGGGGCAGGTCAGGGCTCCCCCAGAGGAAGTGCGGAAGCCTGCGGCGTTCCAAAAGCCTGTGCGGTCCTGCTCGCTCGGAGGCGGCCTAGACCTTGGCCGGTAGCCTCAGGCAGGG